GCTATAATATAACTGGCTAGAAGTAGTTTAATCTATCGGTATGTGATGTAACTGAATAGTTTCATAGCACTAGAGCTTGTGAAGCATTTCTTCATGCTGAGACCTCCTTCAAATCAACATAATGAGCCTTCTACCTTTTAAAATAAATAGAGCATAAAAAATTGCATGTGGGTTAAAGTTTTTTGCCTTGTAATCTGAGGAAGAAGGAAGGGGCTTAGCACAGTATTCAGTTTCTATATATACACTCACTTATTCCCTTACTGTTAACCCTTATTCCTGTGAGGATTCTTTGTGGAAAACATCTTCCAATAAAGGAAGACTGGGCAAAATATTTCAAAATAGGAGTTGCTCCTTAGCCAGCTTCCTAGATGTAGTACGTTTTTTTCCTAGTCTTCTACCAATTTGGAATCACGTATACATTTTACATTCCCATAAATAATAACATGGAGTAACACCTTCACACTTGAACTGTCATAAAAATAGATGCAAACAGACTGCTTTAAAATTATGAGTTCCTTCTGTATTTTAACAGTTTGCTGCTATGCATAGTTCCACATTGCAGGGCACTGACCTGTTTTTAGGTAAGCTGGTACAGTGGTAGCACCTAGGCTGGTCAATTTGTAATCATATATGGCACAAGTTCAAGTTGTTCGGTGCATACAGTGTCAATTCCTAGATACGCTGTATGTATTTTTAAACTTGGTGCCAAGTTGTTTGGTTTTCCATCCTGGAGTGTTTGGAACAGAGCCATAGGATTTGTACTTGCCAATTCTAAATTTAAATGTAATTTATCATGTATGTCATGCCAAGGAGAGCAAACCTGCAGGCATCTGCTCATTCAATGCACCTGAGAGATTTTGCTGCTGAGTAAGCTGTACATGTGTAAATTTTGTGGCAATGGAAAAAGGAATAAATAGACTGACAAAGGATTGAAGTCAGTCATGTGAGGTGTCTGTATGGTTTTTGTCAGCTTTCAAAGCCTTGCAAAGGCTGGTGGGATTGGGGGGGAGTGGTGGTGTTTGTTTTCTGGTTATTTCTTTAAATTCTTGCATTGTTATTCCATCAGTCAGTAGAGGGCAGGGATGGTGACTCATTAGTTTTTGATCAGTTATAATTGATGCCTGTTTTGCTCATTTGTGCCACCTTTAAACTTTGAAGAAGTTCCCTGTGTTCCACTGCAGTGCTGCATCCACTCCATGTACCTGCTAATGAACAAATTCCTCAGTTTGCGTCATTAGTTTGTACTGGCAACAAGGGGTGCAATTGTGGGCAAGTCTTACTCAGTCCTAGGCTCTGAGCTGTGCAGGAGAAGCAGCACACTTGGAAATCTGTGCAAAGATCTTCAGAGGTATGTATTAAACCATCCTTAATTCTCTTCCAAAAGTTTAAATCCAAATAAATAAGTTATCCTCTGTACTTTCCCATCTGGCATCCCTCTCCAGTGGCTTCACCAGCTGCTGGCTTCTATGGTATCATGAGTCTCTTCCTTCCCCCATAAGAGCGGAACTGCTGATTCTGATACTTGAACCATGTCAAGCTCTTTTCAAGTGTCAGCACCTCTCAGTAGGTTCCCTCAGCTGTTGCCAACCAGCATCTGGCACACCAAAAGGTATAGCCCTTCTGAAAGGTGTAAACTGTAAGGTTTTTACAACCTTTTAAAAATGTATATATTCAGCAAAAGGTGGTTTGTGACCTTTGCAGTATATACAGTATGCTGGGTGGAATTGGGTGAGGATGACGCATCTCTAAAACAGGCTTTTTTGTTATGAATTGTTGACAAAAGGGGTCCTGCAACTGCAGCTACTTCTACAACCACATGCAGAAAATTCCGTATTTCAGAGAAGTGGGTACAGTGTTCACCTGTTAAGGGCATTCAAGTTTTGACTGAGTATAATTATTGGGATGTTTCCTCTCGTTGTTTATACTTAGCAAATTCTCAGGTGTTTTTTCTTGTGCCTCTTACAAGTAGTGAAATACTCCTATACCCTGTAGGATTTCCTGTCACAACACAGGCTTTCTGTCAAGACAGTAAAGAGCAAAGAAGTCTGTGTTGCCGTGTTTTTTCTTTTTTTTTTTTTTTTTTTAATGAGGCAGTGGTGTAAAACTGTATGAAAATTATTCATCCCCAATATTAAAGAATTGAGTAAAACCTGTCTGTTTTTTTTCCTGGATCTCAATGAGTGTGTTCTAGAATTAGTGTTCTTTCCTAAAGGAATGATCCTGTGACTACAGTGAAACCCTTCACTACAGTAGTTACAAAGATGCAGGTGTGAGACAAGTCTGACACCCATCTGGTATCAACCCTGCTTTTCCAGGGTATGTCTCTGAATCCTTTGGACGAGTGAACTTGGAACCAAGACCATTCCTCTGCTGAGTGTTTTTAAATAGCAGGAGCATCACTCAGTCATGGATTAAATACTTGGGGTGTAGTAGTATTTAAAATGCTGAAGGGCTTGTGTTGGCAGAGCAGAATCGGCCCATGTTCATTTATTCATGAAAATAACAGCTCCTTTACGGCCTGTGAGCCCTCCCATGGGTGGTGAAGATCATGGATTCTCACCCACTGACGTGGAGGAGGCAGAGATGGAGCCACATTGGCTGAGGGTCTGCTTTTGTCTTCTCAAATAGGGTGAAAATACAGCATCTTACCAAGACAAAGAAGCCTTCTCTATCCTGGCTTTTAGAAAGCTGAAGAGGGACTTTTTATAAGAGCAAGTAGTGATATAAGGGGGAATGGCTTTAAACTGGAAGAGGGGGGATTTAGATTAGATATTAGGAAGATGTTCTTTACTGTGAGGGTGGTGAGGCACTGCCTCAGGTTGCCCAGAGCAGCTGTGGCTGCCCCATCCCTGGCAGTGTTCCAGGTCAGGTTGGACGGGGCTTTGAGCAACCCGATCAAGCAGAAGGTGTCCCTGTCCATGGGTTGAAACTGGGTAATCTTTAAGGTCCCTTCCAACCCAAGCCGTTCTATGACATGATTCTATGATGCCTATTCTTCTTTTCTTTTTTTCTGGATTCTCCCTATCTGGTCATATCTGAACCGATGAGAGGACACCAAAGCTGTGTTTTTATCTGATTTAACATTTACCAAACATTTTTTGCCAGCCCTACTTGTTTGTTTATTTGTTTTTCCTATTATGAATAACTATGGTAAGTGAATACTTACTGATCTTAATAGAGTTACTGTATTTTGGCTGTGTTTAAGACATGCAAGTATGTTATTTTACAGATAACTGTCTCCTTTGGGGCGAGTAGGGGTAGATACAGTGTGCCTAACCTACCTCTGCCCAGAAAGCTCATAGTGACCTGAACTACCACATGAAAAAGAGATCATGTGCAATTAAATTAAAAAAAAAAGCTAAATTCTTTGTTGCACGTTCTGTTTGGCAGGGTTGAAAACTAGAACTTCTCTGAAATTTCCTCTGGGTTTTCATTATAGCCATATTTCCAAAGCCAAACATTTTACTCCTAATTTGGGCTGTGTTTCAAGCAGCCAAGTGTGCGTGTGCGTGCAGGGTAAAGTCCACTGGAGGCAAAAGGGCAGTGCAACTGCCAGCCACATTCAGAAGGAAGAGATAAATGGAAAACTAAGAATAGCTTTGCCCATTTTCAGGAAGGAACCTTCCATCTGATGAGGCCCTTGCTACCTCTCTACAGTGCCTCAGCAGGTGTTTTCTCCTGTCCTTGCTTTGCAAATTCCAATTCCCATAGGCTTCCAAATTGTAATGCTCTGTAGAAATAGAGAAGGGGTGGACGCCACAGAAGGGTGCATGGGCCTGTAAAGGAGACATCAACATTGATGCTTCTGCCTGGTGTGGTTTTTGTGAGCTGCCTTGGCCTTAGTTGCCCATTTTGAGTGTTCGCTTTCAGACACGCAGAACCAAAGGTAACTGACAGCACAGAGGTGACACTAAGATTACCTCTGTGTTGCTTCACTGCCATGGTGCGGGAGGTGATGCCTGTTCCCACAGCCACACAGGGCAGAGGGGCTGACATCCTCACTGCTCATGCCAAGCTATCTCGCTGTCCTGACCACAGCCCCACTGTAGAACACTTGGCCCTGCATTTCCTCTGGTTCCTACAGTATCTGGTTCCCCTGGTATCCTAAGGCATAACTGCCCATTTTTTTTTTTCTTTTTTTCTTTTTTTGCCTTTTCTGTGCCGAATTGTTCTTTCCTAGCAGTGAAGAGACTCTCAGAGACCTCTTCTCAATACTCAGCATTTCCACTACCCAAGCTGTGATCTTTAAAATGAGAGCGTACTAACAGAGGCTGCTTTCACCACGTTGGCACCTTGCTTCTTACAGTATAGAATAGGAATAGTGAGTCTTATCTGTGTTCTGAAACTGCACTGAGGTTTCTTGTGAAGTACAGTGATATTTCTACACATCAATAACTGAGTCCGTGATTAACTACTTAGTGCTCTGGGTGATAGGAGGATGATGCATCCTTTACACTGCTGGCTTTTTCCATCTAAATGGCAATCATCAGTACTGCTTTCTGGAAAACAAAGAAAAACAAGGACCTTTCCTAAGTTATTCTTTATCAAAATTACAGTCAAGCCAATCAAAGCTTTCTGTTTATCTACCTAAGTTTATGTTTACATTTGTATTTCTGTCCCTATCTTTAAAGTAGTAGTAATTTGTGAGTCTTTTAAGACAGCATGGATGGTGACTCAGAAGTACTATCTGAGTCAGTCTCAGCAGACTCCTTGAAGGAAGATATTGAGCCTACACAGAGAGGTATTTGTGGGCAAAACACATTTAAAAAGCTGCAAGACTGCAGATCCCCTTCTTGCAGTGCATGGCAGAAGCGCAGAAAAAAATGGCAGTAACAGAGTGAAACGCATAATTGCACAAGTATCCAGTTTGAAAGGATAGTACCAGTAAAGCTTGGTTCTTACAAAGTAAGATTTCTTCATACGTGAAGTTTCTCAGACTCAGAGGATGCCATTTAAATACATCTTTCAGATAGTTTCCTTCCAGATTTCAAATGTGGGCTGCACCTTAGGAAAAAGTCACTCTTTGCCAGGGAGTAAAAAGGGTGGGACAGAAGCTGATGTTTTGCTTGGTGTTTATCCACGAGTGAATTAGCAAAACATTCTTGTCCTAGGTGGAAGAGAGCAAGAGAGCTGTTCACAGAGTATCGCCATAAGGCACAATTAAAAATGGGAGAGGTTGTCTGCATTTGACTAGATTTCTTCCAGCCTGACCCCTCATTCAAGTGTTTACAGTTTGGGAACTCCTGTTTTCCACAGGTTTTCCTTCTGACTGGTCCCTGAAAGGGAGCCTGACTCCAGCATATCAGAAAAGGGAAGGGAAATACCAATTTACAAGTTATTAAATAAATGAACACCCCTGTGGAGGCATCTGTTTTTCTGGGTGTAGAGTTACTTATGCTGGGTAGGGCTAAGGATTTCCTGGCTTGCTTTACACTGGGGTGCAGAAACAATTTTGTGCTTCGCTTTGTAGGTCCACTCTTGTGGTTGCATTGAACAAAGCCCCTGAAAAATCCCTGGGTTATGAAATATTTCCTCTCCGTTGGGTCCCGGACAAGAGATGGCATCTGCAGTGCCAGAAAAGGAAATCCTTGCCTTATAGAGCGTGCTCTTGGTGTGACACAATGGCTGATATAAAGTGTTGGGGGAGCTGAGCTGAAGGCAAAGGAACAAAGGAAGATTGAGATTCGGTGGCTCTCTCAGACAAAAGGAAAGCGGAAAGTGTCTCAGGATGGATAAATTTAAGGCTGCGCTTGTGCTGGCAGGGGTTGGGGATGCTCTTGGTTACCGCAATTTCTCCCGAGAAAACAATGCTTTAGGTGCAAAAATCCAGCAGGAGCTGAAGGAAATTGGAGGGCTTGAGAACCTGGTGCTCTCTCCTGACAAGTGGCCAGTAAGTGACAATACGTTCATGCACATGGCTACAGCAGAGGCTGTCATCACAGGTAGGTACGACAGGACTAACAAATGCAGTCTGGAAAGGAGCAAAACTCTCTAGCTGCTGCTTTTATTAGTTATTCTAAGCCTGAGTCTGGGGAAGTCATGAGAAAGTGTGTCAGAAATGCTGCTTATGTGAATGATAATGTGCATTAGCTTCTTTCCTGTATGAGCATAATCCATGACTATCACCCAAACTGGAGAGTTTTGATTTCTTGAGTGTGGAGGAGTTCTCCTTATATTTTTTCCAAAGTTTATATACTTGGTTGAAGCTCAAAGACTGAAATATCACATGTCCAACATAACAAAAATAATTGCTAAGTAGATTATCTGTATGCTGGAATACACTGGGGAATAATATAACCACTAGAGATTGTTCCATAAAAGATAAGAGCTCTTCTGAGTGAATTTTAGCATGTTTGTGTCCAGAACTCCAGGCTGGAGTAGAGTCCTTTAATACCTCTTTCAGGCTGAAATCACTAGTGCTGTCTCGTTTTTGCTGCCCCTTGGGCAAAGGGTTGCCCTGCAAGACCAGAAAAGGAACAAACTGCTTTATAAGGAGAGTTCTGTGTCTTTAGTAAAAAAAAAATTCTAACATATTATGTTTATAACAAAGTCTGAATAGTGGAAGTTATTACTGCATGTCTTCTAAAATCACGAGAGTTTGAGAGAGAACAGTTGTTTTTTTTTAAGGTAGTAATAATCTTTTGTAAGATATGACAATATTTGTATCAACAATTTAACCCATCCAACTAGAGCTTTCTGAGACTAGATCATCATCGAAAGTACACCAGAAGACAGTGACCATTCAGCAGTATTTTGTCTCTTCAGAATTAATCCATTTTTTGATATCTGTAAAGATATTCCTGATTTTTCCTAAAACATGTAACTCTGGGTAACTAACAGAAGCAGAAGCTCACAATGCAGCTAAGTATCCTTCACGTCAATGAAATTTCCCTTGTGCTTCTGTTTCACCCCTTTATCTGCCTGCTTCCAATCAGCTCTAAATTTAGTACACAGAGATCAGTTGAAGAGTGTGTTGTACACTTCATACTTGGCTATTAGCTAGCCAATGGTTTAAGGGGTAGCTAATACTCTAAAGATAAGGGCAAGATGTCAGCCTATCAAGGAAAAAGATGACTAACATATTTCTGAATATAGGCTATGATTAAATACATATCATATTTTTCTTGCTTATTGAACTTTCTAAAACCATAACTTCTGGGTAATCCAGCCAGTTAGACTGACAATGAAACAATAAATCTCACTCCTTAAATATAGCAGGAGCACTGTGTCTCTAAAGAAAAAGTCTCAGCTATAATTTCCATCAGCTGTGTTTATTCTACACTCCCATTTCTTTGGCCTGATCAAACAAGCTTTTTAGAAAGGTGCTTTTATGGGCTGGTAAGAAAGCTGTAAGCTGGAGTGGGGGATTTTAATAAGAAATCTTCATTTCATAGTAACATTGGTGGACAGGGAAAAGCGAGCCTTCCTCTAAGCTTCCCACAGGGGAAACAGACCCACTCCTGCCTGCAGCCCTGTCTTCTCCTGGCAAGGGAAACACAAAAAAGCCATGGGGTTTGCCCATGACACCGCCTGCGTGCCAAATCACCTAAGTCAACAGAGGTGAAGCTAAAGAAGGTGAACATGGGTCTGTGAGGGGCCCTGCCTTCCTCATGCAGCAGGGAGCCCTCTCTGCTGTGGAGACTGAGATTTTAAAGAATATATAGGATGTCTGGGACACTACCAGCAGCCAAGCATGATGCAGAGATTTGTGTTAAGGATGAAAGCAGTTCTCACCTGGGGAGATGATTTTGGTCGACGCTTTGCTGCTTGCAGGGAGAACGTCCCAGGAAGGCCGTGGCCAGAAGCAGTGGGGGCTATGGGCGCTGCTGCAGACTGAGCTGGCGCTCCCCAAATCCACCATGTGCACTGACTGAAAAATTTACCCTATAATGACAGATAAACGCAATGTCTGCTTCCAGCAGGAATCTGTCCCGTAAGAGAGGAATGAGAACAGCATCTTCAAACCCAGGGGAACTATTCCTCCAACAAGAAAAATCTGAATTATGGGTAACGAAAAATAAGGGCCCTTTTCTAAAGAAAGAACCTGTCCTATTGACTTGATGGCTGAGAGAACACCCTGGATCCAGGTGCAGGAACAGTGGTCAGCTTGGGCAGCCCGAAGGTGCTGGACCACAGGAATGCTGGCTCTGGCTCTGACTCTTCTGCAGAAGCTGCTGAGCCATAAATCCTGCTCCTGGCTCACATCCGGATAAACAGACACCCAATTCCTAAATGTGGAGAGAGTCGGCAGCTTGAAAGTATCTTGTTCCTTTAGGATTGTATGTGGGGTGGCCAACATAACTGGCGTGTTATTTTTTATGTGAAAGGAAAGGAACCTTGGTTTTACCCTGCATCTTCTTTATTTGCCTGTCTGAATAACCATTACTTTAGTGTGGCTCTGGCTTGCAGGGCTCCAAATTTTCTCTTAAATTAGGCCTCTCCTGTGGATTTCAAGAAATCACCATCTTTAACGAAACGAAGGTATTCTTAGAAGAATTTCCCCTGCTGTGTCATTCAATCTCTGCATCAAACCAAGTGTTAAATGGAGTTTGTCTGAGTATGCAGAATGATGTACAGATGAACAAATGGACAAATCCCAATGGCCTCCTCAGTTCCCACTGATTGCACAACTGTAATAGATGCCAGTGGAAGCAAGAGCCATGTGCAGGGCTCTTCAAGCCCAACAACATGCAAGAGCAGCTGAGAGAAGCAGCAATACTGAAAAGACTTCCCCCTGTGTGTTTAACAGGAGGAAGGCTCATCCTTAGGCAAGCCTGTAAGCCTTGGTAAAAATAAGCAGTAAACAGATATTTTTAGTAAACTTATTCCAGAAAGAAATGTATCTGCTGGAAATACTACAGGCTGTAGGGATTCTCTACCCTTACTGATCTTTACATTCATTTTTATGAAAGCTCACCCTTCTGGCTACTGACACAAAATATTGGGATGCCTGCATGGAAGACGTACAAATTTTAGACAAAATAAATGCAGGTTAAAAAATAAGGTCACTGATTTGCTCTTGTGTTTGATCCCACGCCTCTTAATAAAACCAGTGATAGTTTAAGAAAGGCTTTCTTGTTTAAGTTGCATTCACATCTGTAAATAACGGCAAAGGCACCAGCCGAGCCAGGCACAGCTGGCTTCTTGTGCACACCCGGTCCCCACAGCAGCCACACACTCACCTTAAACACCTCTGCAGATACTTCATACCATGGAGCCTAAATAAAGCTCCTGAGCACCTACTGCTGACAAACAGAATTGCCTTCATCTTTCCAATTAAAGGAATTAAAAGTGGAAAAGAATGCAGGAAAAGATGAGAGCAGAGAGACAAGACTGTTCTCCCTCCAGCCCACTCTCAAGGTGTGTAAACACGTGTTGACAGTGGTACCAGAAACATAATTCAGTGTATTGGAAGTAGAAACAGGAACATTTCTTAAATGCATAGTGAACTTGCTGGCTTTCTGTGCTCTCTTGCATTTCTGCCTTCAAGTAGCAACCTTCTCTTCCTATCTCTGAGCAGAGTACCGGAGTTTAGAAGACCTGTACCGGGAGCTGGTAAAACGCTACTTGGATGCTATCGATAAGCTCTCGGGGAGGCGGCCAGACCCTGCTACCATTGAAGGCTGCAGGGAATTAAAACCAGACAACCACCTCCTCGCTTGGCACACACCGTTCAATGAAAAGGGTATGGTATCATTTCCATTTATAGATCATGACTTGAATAATGCATGCTTTCTGTGTTTGTGGCTGTATGGAAATTGTTTCCTTTTTCCCCCCTTACATCAAAGGCCACTACCTCTGAAATGTTTCCATGCTTGCCTAAGGATGGCAAGAGATCTGCCAGGAATTCCTTCTGTAGGGCACTATGTCCGCTCATAAATGAACCCTTCCCACTATAACATCTATTTAAAGAGACTTTGGGTTTGGCTTTGTTTCTTGGGGTCCAGATCTTTGACCTTCAGTTTAATGGTTATTTTAAGAAATATTTTCTGCCAGTTCTTGTTTAAACATTTGTAGTCTTGCATCTTTTCAGTGACGGCAGATCTGAAACAAAAAGCCAAAGCTGAAAATTGTTCTAAGCATCAATTCATTCACTGGAGAGAAAACAGAGACTTTTCTCCAAGTGGATGCCCCACTAATAACTATAACTGTTCTACTTAAAATCCCTAATATTAATTCCTAGCCCTGTTTCCTTACCTCTGACCCTCTCATTCTTTCTCTTTACGACAATTTCATTTTATGATGAATTGAATTCCTACTACAAGTTAAATAACACGCATGCATCTATGTGCACACGCAAATGCATATACCCATACAGTACCATTAATCTTGAAAGCCTGTGGAGACACTGCATCATCAGAGGAGGCAGACCTAGGCAGCCACAAGATGATGGCAGTGTCCCATAGACATTGTGCTGTGTTGGTGTGACACTCTACCACCACACTACATATTGGCATCACTCAACAACATCGCATATTGATGCAACATCGTGGCAAAGACCCTGTGGCACAATGCCATGGCTATTTCTGGGTCTCTACAGTCAGTTGTCTTGGGCACAAAAAGCATCCCTCACTCAGCCTCCCACTTTTCACAGCAGCTCTTGGGAGGGAAAAGGATCCCCTCCCCACGTATTCTGCCCACCCTGCTATCAGCCAGGTAGATCTGAGAAAGTGCTCCTTCACCAGTCATCATGCTTTCTGATTGACAGCGAGTAACATCTTGTCAAATAGTTGTAGGAGCTGCTGCTGGTCCTAGGCAGCTTTTGACACCTCCAGCAGTGGAGAATGGCTGTTCTGTGGCCCATTGCTTTGTAAGAGCTATGTCTCTTCATTTAGCCTTCCTCCTCCCCAGCTTTTTGTGATGAACTATTTGTTTCTGGGACACTCTGGGCTAGAAGGATCTAAAATGAACTCCTGCCTTGAGACCCAGCATCTAAAGCCCACCTTCTCCCTCTGGTCTGACAAATATCATCCTGAACATCTCAAGAAGCCTTTTTTCCACCATGAGAGCAAAAGAACCAGTGACCTGAGGTGGGGACCTCCTGTGGCACCTGACACTGCTATGGACGTAATTAGCTTTTTAATTGAATTTTCATAAATTTCTTCTCAAGGCAAAAACATTCCATGGGCATTGAATGCCTCACAGTTAGATGGTATTTGGATGAGCTGGAACCAAAATGCAGTTTTCCTGTGGTCATTCTCTCTTATCTCATTTCTAGCAAGAATTCATATGCCAGCGTTCATGGACTAGTGAAATCTTTGCTTAGGTAATTTTGAATTGCTTATATGATGCTCCTCTGCTCACATCCTTGTGGGTGTAGTCAGCACACTGAGTTCTCAAGTCAAACTGTCCTGTGTGTCTCTGCCATCTCATGTTGTGCTCATTGCCACACTCATTGCAGAGCTATCCAGAATTATGTTAAAGCCTGGTAAGATTCCTGCAGCTGCCAGAAGACCTGCCCAAGGCTGTCCACCTTCCATCTTAAGAGCTTGTTTCTAATTTATGATGTTGATAAGTTCAAGTGTAAAATTTTCACTACTGTTTGTCTCTTTTTTCTGTCAGCATTTGTTTAAAGTTTCAATGCAGATGAATGCTGTTTCTGAGACATGGTAAAGAGATTTTTTTCCATTGCCAAAGCCTCAAATTGTTCAGAAGAGAATTGCTGATGTGTGAGAGCTGGAACTGAAATCTGGGTGAGATGGTACCCCTTGAGCTAGAGATGTGCCTTCAGAGCCATCATGAAAGGCCAGTCAGATGGCAGGATGGGTCTACCCTGAACTGTGTGTATTGCAGGCTGAGGCTGCAGCATCTAAGCAGGTCTTTATTTGCACCTACTGGAGCAGCTGCTGGGCTTCCTAGTAGCACGTGAGAATGGTGCCTTTTTGGTGGTGGCATTGGTAGAGAACCATGGGGAAAAAGTGTGGGTTAAAAGTGCAGAAGGCTGGGGAACAAAAATGAAGAGAAGGGTAAGCCGCAGACAGACAGGACATAAAGGTACCAGGCTTTAAGTTCTCATGCAGAAAGGTCTGTAGTCAGAAAAGACACCCTTTTCAGGGCTTAGAAGCCATCAGATTCTTGGCAACCTGATCTGAGTTGAAGATGTCCCTGCTCGTTGCAGGGGGGCTGGATAGATGAGCTTTGAAGGTCTCTTCCAAACCAAACTATTCTATATGATTCTATGATGTTTGTTATTCCACAGATGTAGAGTGAAGAGAAGCACACTGAGGTGTTACAGACTAAAAGAGATTAATCTAGTGCATGAATGAAAATTATGTAATTAGGAAATGTCAACACAGCTTTTGTGACAATAAGTCACACCTCAGAATCCTATTAGAAAGCTTATGAAGTAGCAAATAAACAGGAGGAAAAAGGAGACACTGTGAAGATGGTTTGTTAGGATTTCCAAAAGACTCTCAACAAGGTCCCTCACCAAAGGCACTAAGTAATGAGGCACTAAGTTGGTACAGGATGGTGGAAAGGTTCTCCTAAGGACAGACAACCAGTTAAAAGACAGAAAATGAAGAGCTGGAGATTGCAGTCTGCCTCCCCCATAGAGAAGGAGGAACCTGTGCTGGAGCTCTGTGTTCAACGTGTCCACAAAGTATCCAGAAATGCAAGAGTACAGTGGGTTGGCAAAATCAAATTTCATGTGATGCAGATCCGCGGAAGATGCTCATAAGGAGGAATAACTGTGTGGCACTAGCAGAACCAAATGCAAAGCAGATGAATGAAAAGTTATAAAGGAAGGATGGAACCTAATTTTATATACATAGTTGCAATTGCTGCTTCAGTTACTATTCAGGGAAGGGATGAAAGGATCGTGGAGCTACAGTAGTTATACAAGAACGTTGCTTTAGTGCTCAGTAAGAGCCAGAAGGCAAATAGATGCTTAGAAGTGACTGGGAAAGGAACACACAGCGAAACACAAAATATGTTTACACCACTGTATAAATCCATAGCTGCTGTTCTTGATTACTGTATATAATCTTGTCCCTCCCTCCAAAAGTATGTAAGAGAACTGGAAAGAATATAAGGAATTATGGTTTGATCAGTAAAAAACTGCTTCCATAGGCTGTGATGTCTGAGACAGTATGATACAGATCTTTAAAGTGATAGATAATGTGGGCAACATGAGTAGGAACAGAGAAAGCCCACTGTCTCCTTCAGCACAAGAATTAGGGACTTCAAATGAAACTGGCAGGTCATGAGTTTAAAGCAAGCAAAAGGAAGGACTTCTCCACACAACACCAGATTAAGCTGCACAACCATTTTCCAATGCCTATTTGCAGATGTTACAGTTCGTGAAAGGGTTCGTGTTACAGTTCAAAAAAGGGCCGGACAAACTCACCCAAGGGAAATCTTTCAAGGGTTATTGAGCAGAAAGACCAACAGCCTTCTGGATCAGGGAGGCAAATTGTCAGCATCAGTATAAAGGGTTAGTTTCATCATGCTGTCATCATCCTCTCCCTTGGTCACTGTCAGACATGGTAAATTAGGCTAACCTTTGGTCTGACTGTGGAGGACAATCCTTATATTCTTACACACATCTCACCTGTTGCTTGAACTAGTCTCACTGTCCCTTACTTCATTGATTCAAATGGTAGATACTGAGACATGGGAGCTAACAGCTGCTACTCACCTGAAGCCCTGTCTAGGCTTAATGTTACTGCATGTGATGATATTTTTCATTACTGAGTTTGCTCGTCTGCAGAGGGTTCTAATATGACTTCTTACACTGAGGAAACACAATGAGTTTGTAAATACAAGCTCCTTCAGACCAGCAGTCAGATTACTGTAGTGCATCACCCACTTCAGATATACTAAGAGATAGTATTTAATTAGCAGCTCTGTATCGCACCACATCTTTTCCTCCTGGATAACCAGCATGGATTATGTCCTTTGGAGGAACCAGGACTGCATAGTGAAGAAGACTCTCACCCAATGCTCTGTGGCAGCAGATGGTTTAATGAAGACTTGGTCTTGCAAGCAGGGGAAGATGTGTTCTCCTAGTTAAGCTAACTGGTGCTCTGAAAAACTGGGATTCTTTCCTAACTCTTCCTTATTATTTCTGTGTGATATGTGGGATAAGCAGACAGTTTGATCTGTTCCTGTCTCCTTATAACCAGGTGCTACAGCTGCAGCATATGTGAGCTACAGGAGCAAACACATGATTTGCTGAACAAAAATACAGCCTTTTCTTCAGGAGCAGTGGCCAAAAGTGTTCTGGAGATGGCCCTTTTCACTGTTATCAGGAAGGCTAGTGAGGGATGAGGATGCAGGACTTGCAGGGAATAAAATGGCATTTTGTAAAGCCTTTCATGGCACATTTATCAGGTGTTTGGCCTTTTGGAAGAGTTATTGGACACAAAATTTGCACATTAGACTCTGAGGAGAAAGGGAAGAAATGTCTTCAGCTAACCTAATTGGATCATCTACCCAGGGTGCTCACTCAGGACAGCTGCTCTCCAGGGAGAAGAGCTCTTCCCTCAAGAGAGAAATTCTGGTCCTAGTTGGTCTGTATTGCACCTGGAGATCGGTGTCTTGTATTAGTTTGGTTCAGGCTTTATTTTGGCTTGAAGTAATGCTTCCTGACACCACCACTAAAATACTTCGATCATGTTCATCATCTTAGGACATCTGAGCTGGAGTCACTTGAGATGATACTCAACAGCAAGCAGTGCTCCAAGAGAGCTGCTGGTGTTGTGCACCCATAGCAGGTATAGCCCAGGAGAGCAGCTAAGGTGTCTTCTCAAGATAGGTGACTAAAAGCCCTGACTCTGACTCTTTGGTATCTGTTGCTTCAATTCACTCTGGCCCATGAATTGTTCCCACTATGCCGTCATACTGGCAAATGGAGATACAGCCTTTCTCCATGCTGCCTATCTGGGAAAGACTATGCTCCTAACATGGGTTCCACCCAGGCTAAAATTAGGAGGCATAAATATGCCCCTTATCTTCCAGGGACCAAGTAGAGAAATGCTGATTGGTCTCAGTTATATCCAAGGTCACTGGGAAGTGTGATTGAGCAAAGACAGTTCTGAAAAATGCCAAGTACTTTGAAAAATCGAACCCTATCCATCTCAGGGTGGGGGCCTGCAACCAGTTAATGCTTTTTTGGGTATTGGCTTGGTAGCTGCAAAGAGGAGATAATCACTTCACTGGTGCCTTGTGAAGATAGATAAGCTCATTAAAACTTCTGTGGGATCCTGATATTACTGTGATAAGTACTGCAAAGAAACTCATTAGCAAATTTAACTCTCTAGTCAATTAAATGTTTGAAAGTTCAACACCTGAGATCATGCACTGAATGCTGAGGATTAAAAGAAATTCTGAATTAGCTATTCAATAAATAAACTCTGTGCTGCACAAGGCAGAAATTCTGAAGACCAAGCTTAGTAAGCGCAGGCTATAGCCTAATGAGTGTGTACACTAAATTCAATTTGCATGGAAAACTTCCATTCTGTCATTGCCTGACTTCGAAGGAGTTGGCTCCAGCTTTTAATTTCTTTTAGTTTTGGACACACTGTTTTTGTACATAGCAGAAACAATTTTGTGAACTACCTGTGGGGCTCTCTAGGCTGAAACATGAATTAAAATTGTAAGATCAGCTGTGATAGTCATACAAAGAGTTTTAATTGCCTGCTTTCAGCATGAAGACTACTAAAATAAGGGCGTAGTAAAAGTGTATCTGTTTCTCAAACTTCTGTTTCTAGTGCTGGCATCTGGAGAAAGCAAAAGAAGCAGTGTCAGCCACGAAAGAGTAAAGATGGCATGAGAGTTTGAATCAAGCAAGCGATGTGGACAAGAGAACACACTGCTTTCTGAACCCACTATGCTCTTTGTAGCACCTGAGAATATTGGAATACCCCTGTAAAACCAGAATGACTGTGTAGAAGCAAAATTCCTTGCAAAAAACTTTTAAAACTTTAAACTCATTTCCCATGCCTGAGAAGTTCCCACACATGACTTGAATAAATAAAATGTGCTTGTTTCACATTCTACCAGCATATTTGTGTATTATTAGTCTCCTTTTAAATGCTTGGCATTATCTTTTTATTTTAGGTTCTGGATTTGGAGCATCCACAAAAGCCATGTGTTTAGGGATGCGGTACTGGCAGCCGGAAAAGTTGGAGCTCCTTATTGAAGTGAGCATTGAATGCGGACGAATGACTCATAACCATCCTACAGGTACGATCCACTGATTTACCAGCTGAAGCCCCTAAGGCTGCTTGTTGCTTCTGCAGGGACTACCAGGGCTCCTGCGATTTCACCTGGTTAAGCCTCTTCTGCTTTGCAGACTTCAATGCCTCCATTTGAATTCTGGATAACATATAAATGTATATATTACTTCTATCAGCTTATATATTTGTGTGTATGTTATGCAGAGAACAACCTCAGGTGTTGGAGCTTTCCCTCCTAAAATCCCAACAACCAAACACAACCTGTCTTGTCCAGACCATACTCATATCACTTGCCTTGATCTAAATTTAGAACTCACGTACATCTAGATGACTCCCTGTTATCATGCAAGTTTATGGTTCAAAGGATAACATTTTTCTCTTGATAGGTTTTGTCTTATCCAATCACCGTAGGTAAAGGTAGAAAACCCCCAGAAAAACTAACTCCACGTATTTCAAAACAGTCTGAAATATTCTCTAAACAAAACACAAACGAATAGATTTAATGTTGTTCTGAATATTCAGGTCTGCCATTCAGATAATTTTATGCTACAAAAGCATGTATTCATTCTATCTGTTTTAAACAGAAATAAATAAAAGCATAATGAATGGTGACACGTTCAACACAGTGCTGTGAAGCAGCCAGAAAAACCATCAGGATGACATAAAATTAGAGGAAAAGATTTGAAAGAGAAGCAGAAAGTATAATTAAGCCAATAAAGCCCATGTTTAGATTGGATATAAGGAAGAAGTTCTTTACTGTAAGGGTGGTGAGGCACTGGAATGGGTTGCCCAAAGAAGTTGTGAATGCTCCATCCCTGGCAGTGTTCAAGGTCAGGACAGAACCTTGGGTGAGATGGTTTAGTGTGTGGTGTCCCTGCCCACGGCAGGGGGGTTGGAACTAGATGATCTTAAGGTCCTTTCCAACCCTAACTATTCTATGATTCTATGATTCTATGTTGCATTAGCAGCAGTAAGTTGGTTGCAGCCTGGGTTTCCCCCTCAGTAAGGACTTACTAGAGCCAGAAAATGGCACCAAGGAGCACCCAAGTTGTCAAACAGCTTCCATATAAGGAGAAATTACATCCAGAAGGAGTTTTCAGCTGGGAGACAAGTGGCACATCAGGGAGTCAGAAAGGAGCAGGGTGGAAGGCCCACCATGGACTTCACTACCATGAACTGAAAGGTGCCAGAGAAAGGCCAGTTGTGACTCCCATAACTCAAAGACTTGAAGACAAAACTCAACTGACATGTTGGTCAGGACTGAAGCAACCAGACAAAAGGAATATTTCCCAGTGTTGTGTGTAGTTAAGCCACAGATCTTGATGCTACTGGCAGCTACAAAGTCCACAGATACATCTTGCTTCAAAGAGGATCAGGCAAGTGGATGAGAAAGGCTGTCACTGCTAAAAACAATCAAGCTGTGTCATTGAAGTTGCCCATAAGCTAGTCTAGCAGTTCTGGGGAGTGGAGAAGCCAAACCAGTGAGGTTCACTCCACACTAGCATTATTTGCAGAGCAAGAGACCACAGCTGGATCTTGCTTTCTTACCTGGTGTGAGGGCTGCAGTGAGTAGAGAGAGCAGAGCAAGAGCAGCAGGGTAAGGGAGCTACCTGGGGAGTGGGCAGGAGGACACAGTGAGTCCCCCCAAAAACTTCTGGGCACACCCTCTGCACTGGCTTGTCCCGCTCCCTCCTGCTAGCCTTTTGCATCACCCTCTAAACCCTCCCCTGCCATCCCCACACTTAATGCAGCACTCAAGGATCTTTATTGCAGTTGGGGTAGATGCTGTCTATTCGAGTGAGACCCTTTGAGCTTGCTCAACCTGGGGTTTTATTCTTTATGAAAGATTCTTTCTGGGTTAGATGTACCTTGGGCTTGATTCAGTATTGCAGGCATTACAGCAGAAAAGATTAGTAATTGTCTCATCTGGATTTGTAACCTCCTAAAACAATTAAGTTTTATCTTCAGCAAAATACGTGAAGCTCGTGTTTACCTCTAAGCACAAGTGAATGCTTTTGGACTCCTGCATGGCAAGGAGCATATGCATCAATACTTCACTCACCCAGGGCTTGCTTAAATGACTGAGTTGTTTTCTTAACCTTCTTTTCCATGGATTGGTTTTGTTGTCTTTGAGAGAATGCCAAGAGCACAAACAAATATTAAAAACAAGGCCCTCTGTGTTTGATGTCATGGAAGTGTTGAGTGCCCATCAACAGAAAGTTCATCTTAAGTATATTTGTGTCCAAAGTGGAAGACTTTGACCTAATTAGGCAGGCAGACAGCATGTCTTATTTGGATTATTGTTTCTTTCCTCTAAAGAGACATGGGAAAAAAGCCATTGTCCAAGTAAGACATGGACTTGTGCCCCCTTAGCATAAAATGAGCCAGAAACAACTGTTAGATCTAACAACTACATCCCTTGTGCTGGATGAATCTGCAAGCAAGCTGATACAGCTTGTAACTGAAATACTTTGCACAAGTCATGTATTTCACATGACTTCAATTAGAAGACTTTCAGTATCACATTAGTGGATCATATTTATTTTTGACCCTTACCTTGATTTCTGTTATGTTACACCATTGAGAACAGGAGCTCCCTTTTATGTAAACTAAGTTGTAAACCAACAGACACCACACATTAGGCAAGAACCTCAACATGCCATGAGCAGAGGTAGGTTATGTATATTCGTTAAACTACCCAACAACCATGAAGCATTCCAGTAATGATTCATGGGGGATGTGACAGGGATGTTACAGGCACATACTGCACATTGGTAATCATTGTTATCTATGAATTCCAGGCTTTCTAGGGTCCCTGTGCACAGCTCTCTTTGTGGCATATGCTATACAGGGGAAACCCCTTGCGCAGTGGGGAAGAGAGATGATGAAGGTTGTGCCGATGGCTGAGGAATACTGCAAGAAGACCATTCGCCACATGGCAGGTAACATGTCTGAATCTAAAGATCTATTTTATTAAAGCTATGTTCAGCTAGATAGACACTGAAGAAACATCACTTCCTAGTCTCTCCATTTTGCTACTTTCTCTGCTCAGACTGTAAGCTCTTCACAGGTGATGCCTCTTCTTCTCCTGTCTGTTAATTGCCTGGTATATAGGTGGCAAAAATACAAAGAGAAATAGCAATGATGATGCACAGTTTTATTTTTAGGAAGTCTTCAAAGATTGCTGTGCAAGGGGAGGGAGGAGATTATATTTACTGGGTTATTAGGCGAACTGACTGCTGAGATATAAATTATTCAGCTCCCATCAATTAGCACAGTTCAATATTTTCCATAAGAAACATTTCTCATTTCTGACATTTCTCATTTTGCTAGGAAAAGTTCCCCTGCAGATGCCCCCTGACCAAGTGTTAACTATTGACCACAAATTCAGATTTGACTTTTTGCTTTTCTGAATATTTAAGATTCAAGCTGTTTTACCCTTGACTTAAAACAACTGAGTGCAACACAACTACTGAACTTGATATTGCTATGTTACTAATATATGTCATCTTCAGGGCAAAGGTATTTTAGTCTCCTCTTGCCAGGGAGTGATGTGTTTGTAACAGTGAAACCTGCGTGAACAGACGATTATCATCGCATTAAAACATGGAGGAAAGAGGTTTATCTGTTAAAGGAGGGCTGTTGAGAAAGATTGAATTCAATGGAAATCTGCTGACAAGCACTCAGAAATGGAGGTTTACCTGGGAAGGAAAGCTGCCACTTTAAAATCTGGAAGGCGCACCAGGGAGCCTTTCTGAAAGACCCCACGTTTTCCTCTAGGCCTCATGGTGCACCAGGATTATTTTAGCCGAGACCTATGAGGAGCAGGTGCAGGATTAGTGTAAACGAGCTCCTCTCTGAGTGGCTTTGCAGCAGGTCCCTGTCACTCCACCCAGGCAGGACCCCTCGGCATGGAGGTATGCGTCCTGGGCTCCCGAGGCACGCTGTCCGGCTCTTGCCCGTATTGTTGAGTTTTGTCCTATTTTGGAAGTGGGAAAAGTCTCCTGCACTAAAGTTCAGCTCCTTGGCTGGTGAAGAAGTCCGGCAAAGAAATCCTGCCAGTGTCCTCCAGTTTTAGAAACTCTTTTTAGCTGCATTATGCCCAGTGAATAACAGACACACAGTGTTCGGTTGCAGAGGGCTTGACTCAACACCCCTCTCTGATATTCAGTTGCAATTACTTGCCAGATAGTCCCATAGACATGAATGTGACTGTTGTCTCAGGCTGTGCTCAAGGGATGGGATAGAGCTTTACTAAGGCTGGTGGCATGGAATTTCTGAATATGCTACAGGTCATCTGTGCAAGAAAATTCTCCTGCAACCTCTTGATCCTTCTGTTTCTGAGGTTGTGCATTGGAATAATCCCTCATCCTTGCTTGCTGACGTGCTACATAGAAGGCACTATTTTTTGAGGTATTTATCATTTATGGTCATGAGGGAAATAATAAAAAAAAACCCAAACCCCACAAAGAAAGGAACCTGCCAGGTCACCTGTATTTCTAAAAGCAGTCTTGTAGCCAGCTGCTGGAGTGGGTGTCAGTAGTTTACGTCAACCAGTTGTTTACATCAACCAATGTTTTCTTTGTGTAACTTCTTTTTTCTTCAGGATGCTTCCCTTGGCCTGATAGCTGTGAACACGCATTCGCTGTTTTTCTAAACATCCCACTGTTTTCACTGTTCTAGTGAATGGCTTCACTGCAATCAGGAAAAATCAGACCATGAACTCAGAGAAAGGCATTCCCAGGCACTATCGGGAATGTGGTTGAAGGCTCATCCCTGTCTGGGGTTGGGGAACTGGCAATGTTGTGAAAGTATCTGGTCCCAGAAGGCAGCTTGGATTTTTTTACATGGAGTTAAACCTTTTTAAACATCTTAATTGCCAAAGAGGATCACCCGTATGGCATTTTAGGAAAAGAAGCAAAACCAGATTACGTCCTTCAGAGAAATGGTCTGGTTGTGTGCATGCCCCTCAGCCACTTGGAGCACATAACTGGGCAACCAAGCAGAACAGAGCCAGGGAAAAAGTAGCAATACTCAATTTCATTTTAAACTGTACACTGATAGTCCCATACTGAATTACTTGCTTGCCTTGGCTTACCTAGCTGTCTGGTCCACCTCACTGATTCCTAATTCCTTACCCCCATTAGCTTCCCAGGCAGGGTTTCACTCAGGCCTCATTTCTGCAGATGGGTGTTTGTCTATGTGCTTACGAGGTCAGTGTGACTTACACACCCTTTAAAGCCTTTACAAAAAGGTTGAACCAGAGCACTGGCTTGAAAATGAATTGAATTTAGTCATACTATTTACATGCACAATGTTAAGCACGATTAGAGATGCTCTTTTAAGAGTGACAGAAAGAGGAGAAAGACCTATGGTTATTAAAAAAGGCTTATGTCTATGGGCACAGACAGAAGAGGTGTGTGTTATTTACCCTTTTTTTTACTATATTTCATACTTACAATACATATAATGGAAATTTTGGGCTTTTCTATCTGCTTTTTCCTGAAAGATCACACAGAAATCCTGTGAAAAGAGAACAGAAATACTGAAGAAATTATGTGATTAACAACTGACAACTGAGTTAAGAGGCAATTTGTATTTAGCATGTGTAAGCTCTTTTAGATATTCGTTAATCATAGTAAAGGGATCCAAAAAAATTGGCATAGAACTGGGGGGTTTTCCTCCTTTTTTGTCAACTCTCAACTTTTCCTTGGAGTGTTCCTCAGTAAGTTCTCTAAAAAGCTCATCTTGATGTAACTTAATGTAATTTTAATATACCATAAAAATAGCATGAGATTCTGAAAATATTTTCTTCATTCACATCTTTTGTTTCCAGTTAGATATTCCACTCCATATTAAAACATATATTTAGTATGTATGACTGCTTAATGTACATTACTTCAAAATACCTACTTTTTCAGGTCATTCAATACTGTAATTTTCTTAAAAAATTTATTAAAGTAGAACTGAAAATGTTGCTGAAATGAAATCCTGTATCATTGATTTCTTTTGCATCCAGAATATCAGGAGCACTGGTTTTACTTCGAAGCCAAGTGGCAGTTTTATTTGGAGGAGAGAGAAATCAACAACGAAAATCAGAATAAACCTGTTTTTCCAGACAACTATGATGCAGAGGAGAGAGAAAAGGTAACTGCAACTTCAAAAAGCACTCAGGAAGGCTTTAAAACGGGAGAGGTGTTTTCCAAGGGACACAACAGGGTTTTTTTAACTGTTTCCAGTGTCAGAGTTGCCAGGATGTCTTTATTTGTTTTCTGAAATTTCAAGAAAGAAAAAAAACAACTCCCATCCTTGACTCAGATACGTGTTAGCATAAAAAAGCAATTGCACCAGTCCTGAGGTTGCTGTGATGGGAGGAAAAAGTGCAGAGTGGCAGGCTTAATGGCCAGATGTGTTGATGACCAAAGCAGGTACAAAACATAAGCCATGTTAGAAGGTGAAAAAGGCAAATGTCCTGCCAGGAGCTCTAATTAAAGCCTGATGGATCTGTGGCCCTAGTCCCACAGAAATCCGCCAGGTACTGGGAGTTGGACTTGGCTGTGGTCCTTTGAACAGAAGAAAGCCACCCCAAGCAATCCTCTGCCAAGGCAGGCTGTGCCCAGGCTCGTTTTAAGTGTCTTGAGAGATGGTGTTTCATCACGTTGCATGGGATAGTATTTTATAGCATACATGATCTGTCCTTTGGCTTATGTCTTCTGGTTATACCTTCTTAACTCAAGAGAAATAAGGTGTCTTCTTCTCTGGTGTTAACAGCTTTCTGAATTACACGTCGAAATGCTAAACAGCAAAGCACATTTTGTATAAGTAGGTATGCATCCTAAATTTAGGGATAACTAGAGATGTGGGGATAACAGACAAATTACCCCTTCTTGAATGTTTAAATGCAAGATGGGCCAATGTAGGGCAAGTCCTTTTTCAGTGATACACACTTGGAACATGCTAGATACATGGTGAATAGGCAGACAGGATCAGCTTTGCTTTTGCAGACAAACCACTCCCCCTGCTCAGTTTCCCATGCTGGACACAGTGTGCTACAAAACAAGGGAGGAACCAAACCAAAGTCATCCAGGTCAGTTAGACTCTCAAGAGCTCATTCCCTTAAGATGGAGTTGCTTAACCCAGCCCTGTGAAAAGACCCAGAAAAGGAAACAAAACAGTTGGAAAGGGAGTGCTAGCCAGCAGCAGGTCACCTCCTGGAGGGTGAGTAAGTCAGAGGCAGCTGTAATTACCGTCTGCAGGAGTTTACAGCAAGGAGGGAATGTGTGAACTACCTATAGGACTTGGCAGCAGCTCAGTGCCTTCATCAGGAGGGGTTGCATGTTGACATCCACATCCACGCACTCAGAGCTACCCGTCCTCACCTGCCCATTCCAGGGAAGCTGGGCTGGTGTCCCATCACAGGGCTGCACAGAGGCACAGAACTTGAAAGGAGGTTGCATTTCTGAAAAGTTTGAGAAATGCTGCCTTGGTGCAGTTAAGTCCAGCAGGCTTGGTCCCAAGGACAGCTATCCCTAGTGTAAAGCTGTTTCAGCAAGGTGAGATGACGTCAGATGTGTGCAGAGCATCAGCGATCTGAAGGGCTAAATGGAGCGACACTTGAGCTGCCTGCCCGTGTGCCCAGAATAGCACCTCCATGCTTAGTCTGCTTGCCTTTGGTGGTATTACATGTGTGTCAGTACTGCTCCACTAACATCCAAACTGCAGCAGTGAGGCTGGAAGGTTTGCGTGTGGCAGAGGACAGCATAAAGACATAAATTCTCTATATTGCAAAAAGAAAAAGGAAGTAGCAGAGGGAAGCTTTAGTCCAGCTCTGCCTGTTTGATATATATGTGTAAATAACCCACAACCAAGTATGTAAGGGCAGAGATGAAAGTGAACAGGTAGAAATGCAAACCCTTTGACACTTCATACATGCTGCAGAAGCCAGGAGCCAGCCAAGCAGCTATTCAATTTATCATTATGTAACTTAAATTTCTGGAAATAAAGTTGCCTATTTCCTTCACAGGAAAGTTGGGGGTTTTTACTATAAATTTATCAGTGTTGAGTTAATTTGAGAATCTGGGGCAGGAAACAGTGAGTTCTCTAGACAAAATCTGATTTTCTTTTGCAAACCTCACAGTGGGTTTGTTTTTTTTCTCTTCTTCCCTCTCCTGGGGAGGAAATGTTTCTTATATTTGCCAATTATTTTCCATTTTGTTCAACAAATGCTTGTAGAAGAGGAGGAAAAAGGCTTGGCAACAAAAAGTCAGAGAACGGGGCTTGAATTAATACAGTCTGAAATTGATCCCTTCAAGAAATTACTGAATCAGAACTTTTCACCCTCCTCATAAAGCCTGGCTAATTGAAACAAGGGAGTTGAGAATATTTCCAAGAGGCAGGAAGAGGACTGACAAAGTAAGTCCTTATTGACCCTATTTTTTAAAATAATTGGGAATTTCTAGGGTGTGAACTTGGAATCCCTCTTGATCTACTTTTTGGCATTCTTGGCTTGCTTAAGTCAAGCCAACTTCTTGGCCTGTTGAGAGCTTGGTGCATTAGCTGAGGTGCTGGCTTATACCTGCACCTCAGGCATCACCTAGGCTGTGGTAGCAGCCGCTGTGCTGGCTTACCCCATGCCATAGGCAGCAGTGCAGGCAACACAGCTGCCTAGTGCCTTTTCCCTGTGAGATGAGCTATTCCCACCCAGCAGGGGAGAAGCCATCTTATCACAGCCATGTGCCCCACGTCCCCATTTCCAGTGCCCTACCCTGACACCGCCATCTCTCCCTCAGACATACAGGAGATGGAGCTCCGAAGGCCGGGGGGGGAGAAGAGGCCATGATGCCCCCATGATCGCCTACGACGCCCTGCTGGGCTGCGGCGGAGACTGGACAGAGCTCTGCAACCGCTCCATGTTCCACGGAGGTGAGGATCCCCTGTGTCTGCCAACCCCGCTCCCTCACCCCATGCCCAGCAGATAAAACCTTGTACTTAGAGGCACACCGTTTCTTCTGCAGCTTTGTGAGAGATAACTCTCTCGCTGGCAGCAGTGTGGGCTTTAGAGAGGGCCAGCGTAGCTGTGGGGGAAAAGGCCCCAACCCTGACTCACTTGCTCCCTCCCCGCCTGGCATGGGCCCTCTGCGGAAGCTCTGTGTCGCTCACTCACCCTGATACGGTGTTGAGAGTCCACAGCCCCTCGCTGCAGAGCCCGGCAAGCACGAACTTGCGGGCATCACACAGCATCAGTGCTGCTCACCATGGCTGGATGTTTTAAAGCATGTGCAGTGCATTGCTGTGCTGTGAGGAAGGAAGGAACATTCTCCAGTCCAGGATGTTTGCTGTGTAGCAGGGACCCCTTTCAACTACTCTTCCCTCCTCTTTCCCTAACAGTGGCCAGCTGCTTGCAAGAGCTGTTGCATTGGAGTGGATTTTCTCCACGCCAAATAAGCTCCTTAGCCCAGGAGCCCATGCCACAAAGGTATCACCACATGCTTGCATTGGTGCATTTCTCTCTTCCCTAGGGCATCCTCACCTGCACTGCCAGAGACAGGGCATGGGGTGGTGCAAGCCTTTGGGACTGACCCAGCGTGCCCTCATCATGCTCCATCAGCAGCTTAATATTTCCTCCTGTGTGCAGCGTGGGTTTTGGTTGTGCATGTGAAGGTGACACTAAGAGACCATTGCGATTGTGCTTAAACCTGCAGGAGAAAGCGCAGCTACTGGGTCTATCGCCGGCTGCCTGTATGGCTTGGTTTATGGCCTGAGCAAGGTCCCCAAAGGCTTGTACCAGGACCTGGAGCAAAGGGAGAGGCTCGAGTTCTTGGGCGAGAATCTTTACCGACTATCCACGGAGGAAAAGTAAAGCAGTTTCTGCCATTTTCTCTTTCTATAAAGACTATTATCAAACCCTGTAGATAACTGACTGATGTTCGTATCAAAGGAATTAGCTGAGAGTTAGTCTGTAAGACTGTATGTAGATCATGTGTGAGTGAAGATTGCTGAATTATTCAAGACTGATTTGATATTTGCAGTTTTGTGGGCTTTTTTTTACAGATGTAGGGATTTCCAAGTATAAAGGGTACTGTCCAAATCAGTGAGATAATCTCGAATGGAAAAAGAGAAATAAACCCTCTTTTGACTGATTTCAGTCTAACTTGCCATAATACCACTTCCTAAACAGCTGTGACCAGCATTTACACGTACAAAATTAATTTTCAGAACTAATGCTTTCCTGCAAAACTAATGGTAGTACCTACTTATGGGGATATTCTCTGTATATTTGACAATCCTTTCACCACTGTGTTCCTCCTTGTTCTCAAATCTAATGTGTCTGTGATACTTGTAAATCTAACATCTCGCAGATTAGCTTTTAATGAACCACTGATCCCTGTATCAGCACTGTGGTGCAAGGTATTGTTACATTAGAAGCTTCCAGAAAAGGAAAAGCCAACACTAAAAATACCCCCAAGGAACATCAAAGCACCAGTGTGTCTAAAATTTCTGAATTACGCTTTTATTCTTCTTCAGTCTTCAGAAAAAAAGTTATTTTAAAATATAACTGGCTGAAATATTTGTAAATAAATTAATCTTACACTATTTTCTAAGCATCATTCTTTATTTTTAGATTTAGCAGATTCTATGTTGCTGTATCAGTATCAGAATTTTTGGCTGAGGTCTTCTAGCAGTTGTAATAGGTCAGCAGTCAGGCTGTGATATATTTCACCAGTCAGAACACCACAAAAACCCCAGGAAGAAAATAGTTACAACTGCTCTACCTTTTTTCTCTTTCCTCTTTCCTTTTTTCTTTTTTTACTTTTCCCTTTATTTTCTCTATTCCTTTTTCCCTTTTCCTTGCCTTGACTCACCTTGCCTTTCTCCAATTTTTTCTTCAACTTCTCTTTTTCTTTTCCTTTTTTCATTTTTCCTTTTCTTGTTTGTTTTCCTTTTTCTCTTTCTTTTTCCCTTCTTTTTTTTAAATTCTTTTATTTTTCAAGAAAACCAACAAAATATGATTCAGTTAAAAGTTGCACACAGCAGACAAAGTAATCCGTAGACCCTGATGAAGGAGGTTCTGATGCCCCTGCAGAAGCATAGGCACAAATCTGGAATCCTCAATGAAATGACACAGAAGTGAGCACAGAATTTGTTCCTGGTGTTTAACCCTATGCTTTAGCTCAGAAGTTCAGAAACTGAGGTCTAAGTAGCACTTTCTAATCTCTCCCATGAGTGGTTGCCTACATGGTGTTGGTTTCTCCTATCTTTCTCCAGCTGCTGAACTGTTTTAAAGAGATAGCTAAAAATACACAAGTACTTTCCTATCCCTTTTTCCATGTAAGCAATTGCTGGAATCATCACTGGGATATTATGTGGCAGAAAGAGAAGCGATACCTGTTGTTATGAATAGCAGCCTGCATGACAATGTCTGTAGGAAAAGGTTTTCCGTACTATGAGCTACTTCACATGCTGCTGGTTTAGCATGTTTTCTCTTGGCAGCTTTGCAAGGTGTTTTCTTGTTTGCTTTGGAGATATGTTAAACCAAAAGGAGCATTTGTGTCAGTAGCTTTTGATTTAAGAGAATACCAAGGCTTTCTAAAAACATTCCTTTTAGTTTAGGATGCCTCTAGCATACCTGTAATAAAATCAGCAATAGAGAAGAGAGAAGAACATATCCTGCATAAGGTAGGATTTCTCTAATACTTCAGCTTTTCCTCTTCCTTTAGAAAAAAATAATCACAAAAAATTCCAATCTGAAAATCATTCATAACTGTTCGCACTTCACCTTCTATCTAGGCTGGGATGATCAAGTTTTGTTTCAGAGACAAATAAGAGAATACAGTTTGAAAGGTGGCTCCCAAAGACTGAACCTATAAAGCACCTTTTCTCTTCTTTTGAGCTTTTGAGGCAAACAGAGTGTTCGCCATCATTTCAGTGAAAACACTATAAAGGCCTGTGCAGTGGTCCAAGCAAGCAGCTCTGCTCCTGGTTGCCTTCCTTATCTAGGGGCAGGTTCTTGCACCAAACACCACACTGAGCTGAGCAGCAGCTGTATGCGCAGGGATGAGGGAGTCTATGGGATGCAACACCTCATGTGCTCTGGGTCATGCCCATTTCCCCAGAACCAACCAACAGTGAGTCTCCATAGTGCTGCCTCCTCCTGCCCATGCTCCTGTCCTGAGCGCTGTCCCAGAATGGTAGCTGGATATTTAACATGTAATTCAGGATCAAGAGACAGGGCCACCTCTTCTCCACACCAAAGACAATAAGCCAGAAAATCCTGGAGCTGCATGCTTTTAGCAAATGCCATAGAATGCCACCACCCCCCACAACTCAGGAGCCTCCAGACCCCTGAGAGGGTGGGGAGGCAGGAGTGCATTGGTGAAGGAGGGTACAGGCAGGGCTGGGGAAGAGTGCCATCTCCTCTCCCTGTGCCGTGGCATGTCGGCTCTCCTCCACTCTGGTGTCTGCTGCAGAGGTTTCCCTGGGACAAGCCAGCCAGCAGGATAGTGTTGCACTGCTATCCATTAGCATATCAGGCTGTTGCCACTCTGATGCTGCTATGATAAGTGTCACCAAAGAACCTATAAATAAATAACTAAGCTGCCTGTCTTATGTATCTTAATTATTCGTGGGCCAAGAAGACAGGAAACTTTTGGAGGTGGCCTTGCCTCCTCTGGAGGTCCAAGTCATCTGTTCTCTACCACTGAAAACCATGCAGCAGCACTTCCAGAAACCAGCAGCACATTGAGGCAGCATCATACACGTTAAAAACATTGAAAACCTGCATCTCCAAGGGAGGAGAGGGGCAAGGAGCCTGAAGTCCATGTTAGGTCATTTCCCAGCATCAGGGAGGAGACAAAGTATCTGCCTTGTCATCTGGCCTAGCTCACACTGCTGGGAAGTGACTTCTGCTGACGTGGGCTTCCCCTGTGCATGGGAGGCACCTGCCCAGCTCTTCCCAGCCATAGGTGGGACTGGAGTTGGCTGTCTGTAGCTGAGATAGAGGCGGCTATGCTTTACTAATAGGTCACATATTTAAGAACAGCAGGATGCAACTTGGAAAAAGGTGGTGAAGAAATATTAGAAATGATATCCTGGCGTGTTGAAAAAGGTGGTCATGATCCCAAACCTGACAAACCCTCTGACTTTGCTCTCCTTCCCTGGGAGGGGAGCAAGGTGTTTTCCAGACTCTGGGACAATACAAACTCTGCACTACAGACTCACACATTTCCTGTCATGGTCTCAGACTTTAGTGTCACTGTACCAAAGCCCTTGCACAGAAAGCATTTCAGATTTACATGGTCATGATGTTGGTTTGCAGGTGAGGTCACCTTGGAAGATCTGCAGATATCTTAAATAGGTGCCATGGCTGTTTGCCTGTTTTCTACTGCTTGCTGGTGAATACATATCAAACACTCAATCCATGCAACATGTCTTGGTACTTAAGGTAATGCAGTATTCTCACAAAGGTTACATCTCAAATGACATCCTATAAGAATGCTCCAACGTGGAAAAGGAAAACCTTGTGCAGAGCCAATTAGCACTACATTTTAATGAAGCTGTTTGAATTTTATAGCTCATGAGTGATTAATTACAGTGATCAGTCCTTGCAGAGAAGGTCTTATCTTCTTCCCTTCACAATTAGTAGTAGTCTGTCTATGCTGACCTCACTGACAGCAGGACTAGTCCATATTTTACAGTGCCTGTTTATTACATCCAAAGTAGTTTGTAAGGAAGAGGTAAACAGGACATCTGGTTCCACTGCTGTACTGAGAGATTAGAGATGGCCTTAAATCACATTGGTTGATGGCCCTCATGTGCATTTCTGAATACACCAGGCACTTCTTAGGGAGGTGAGGAGCAGTCTTCTGCCATGGCAAGCTTTCAGTCAAAATATCAGCAAACTGGCTATAGGAAGGAGAGTGAACCAGGACATTTTTAGCCAATCATACCCAGAATTCTGGATTTTTATTATGAAAATTCCCCCTAGTTGTGACAAATGGGGATCTTGGTGTAACGTGGGAGCCTTGCATACTTGGCTGTGGTCAATTCAGTAAGGGAAAGGGTGGATATCACCACATTATGCACATGAGAGCGTGCACCTGTGCTATGCTGAAATGTGGTTATTCCCAATCAAAACCTACAAAGTATTGTTTGTCACATTAGACATGGGCCAGCTGTCATGCTTTTTTTCTTTTATTGGCCTTTAAAAATATCTACCAAGTCATTATAAATAGACCTTCTTCCATTCAAGATGGCAACTTCATGCCACTGCTGAGGGATGTAATTTTCAATATGTGCACTTGAAATGAAGCCAAGTGGAAGCCAAATGTAATGACCTAACTGTATGAGGACTAGGCCCCCCACTTTGCCCCCATAATATCACAGTGGGGGGCCAGGTCCAATTTCTTTTGGAGTCTATGGGGTACCAGCTGCTGGGGCACAGCTGGGCCTTCTGCAGCCTTTTGTGGCTGACACTCCCTAAAGGATGACCCTCTTTGCAGCCTTTCTTCATTTTCTACTTGTGGGCTTGATTTAAAGAATTTTTTATTCCATTTCTGCTCATGAAAAATAATCCTCTCCTGGTATGCAAGCTGCATTCTGTGCGTGAAGCTATTTCACTGCACAGTAAAGTAACTTTCCAGCTTTTCGTGGTGTCAGAAAGCTGACACCTCTTGCTTTTCCCCCTCCTAGCCCCATCTATTGTTATTGACTTCATGCTCCAGCTTTTGTGCTGAGTTCACTATTTTATTTAGTAACTGATCCACACTAATTAAAGCATTGCCTAAATCCCCAGCTGTCCAAGGGCCTGATTCTCCAAAGCCAAGTGTAGGTCCAACATAGAAGCCCTCTTCCTCCAGATCAAAGTCAGTTGTAGTCATGGTACATTGCCAGGGTTGTAGTGGTGGTGCCACCTTTCATAAAGCAGATTTAAGAGCATAGTCCTGATGTGGGATTTGAATGCTATCAGAAAGCAAGTAATGCAAATCCTGTGTTTTTTTTTTTAATTCTGGAGAGGTACTTACCAGCTTCTAACCTGTACCAACAGCAAAAACTATCAGTGGCACATCTATGCTCCTCAGCCTTTATATTTTTTTAATGGTTTAAGTCTGTTTTTATAACCCAGAGGCAGAACCATGTTTCTCTGCTAATTGTGTTCTCATAGTTTTTATCTTTGCCTACATTTTACCTAGCAGGACAGGGAAACACCTTCAGTGGTGCCTTCACATTAGGACACTGTGATACTAGATGAGTGAGGAGTGGCACAGAGGAGATGTGGTCAGCTAGCATTGCTTGCTCCTTTAAATGCTTTCACCGCCTACAAAACACAAAAGAAAGAGCTGAAGGTGCCATGTGGGACCATGTGAAGCTCTATGCGCTCCTGTTACACCATACCTCACAAAGCTTAAAAAGCACTTTGCAAGTTTTTTAACAGGCCACTAATGACAACTGTCTTGAGGAGTTCTAAATTAATGTATTTTTTTCCATCTTATGCTGAGCAGCATGCCATTAAGGCAGAATAAGGAGGTAGTGGCAATGTTGATGACTTGAAAAGAACATTCGTGTTTTCTCTTGCACAGCACCAAAAGCACACGCTTTTGTGGAGATGATAAGATGCTGGTAGACCCTTTGGTGCTAAAGAAGAAGCTCGATAGGATGGCAACAGAGCAAGGGGCCTTTGCTGTTCTCAGCAGTCTGCTGCTATACGTCACCGAGCTCGCAGCCAATGATCCACAGCTCAACAACAAGAGGACAAAATGGGCAGAAGGTAAAGAAAACAAGGTGAGTTATAGCCAGCCATGTCTAGATGCAAACAGGGGCCAGTATCCAACCAGATTTCAGCTCTTGCGGGCCAGGTTTCTAAACAACAATCGTGAGCCGTACACCAAGAAAAGACGAGAAGTTGGCAGACTGGTAATTAAGGAGAAGCTGTGGGTGAGCAGGGCTGGTAACAAGCTGGACAGAAGCAGAGACAGGAAAGGAGATGGAAAAGCAGCAGAGGAGGATGAGGACACAGTGCCCAGCGAGAGGGCGAGGTGGAGCAGCGTGTGTGGGAAAAACACAGTGAAGAACATCCTGAAGAAATTCTTAGCTGCCGAAGAAAAAGAAGCCAAGGAAAATTCTCCCAGCTGGAAAAAGAAGGAGCCAAAGAATGGTTTGCCAAAGATAGTCAATAAGAGTGCAGTCCTGTCCAAACTGAAGGAGCAGTTTGAACAAAGCACTCTCCGCTCTGCTGCAGAGGTGAAAGCATCCTTTTTGTGCAAAGGGGAGAAAAAGACCAAAAGCTTCCCAAGCAGAAAAACTATTCGTAAGCCAGAGGTCAGAGTGCTGCGCACAGCAGCAATGACAGCCACGGATATAAACAATCCACACTCCCAGTTTCTGGTGTGCTCCACAGTCCCAGTGCCCAGACTCAGCATGGCTACCAAAATTAACCATCCTTGGAGCTGGTTGAAAAATAACACTGCCAAGCAGCCTTTTGGTCATAACGCACCACTGAAGGAAAAGGGGGGATCTGACAGAGAGCCTGATGAGAACAACATACCAGCAAATGCAGCACAGGACAGGGAGCACAAAGAAGAGTTACCGGTGGCACCCAAGGTCATGTCTGATGCAAAGGACTGTGCTGAGACTAAAATAGATTCCACAAAACAAGGACCCAATTTTAATCCTAATCTAGATAGCTCTTCTAGTACCTGTAAAAACAAAGCTCTTGCAGACTGTGGTCCTCCCTTGCCTGAATGTAGTCTAGACTGTGAGAACAATAATGTACTAGCTGGGCCTGATGAATCTTTACTGGGGATTACCAGTGCTGTGCAACATGTTAAGGAAGACAGTCCACCTTCTAACTCACCTTACTCTAGCACAGCTGAAGAATCCCGTGAACCAAGTCCTCAAGATACTAAAACAGGTGAGATTCCTGTAATAACTATGTATGTGTACAGTTCAGAGGAAGCTGACACAGAGCTCACAGAGCCAGAAAAGAATCCTTTATTTACAGTCCAGGAAAGATTTCCAGAGCAGAAAGCACTGGAAAATATTCTGCCACTTCACTCTTCAGGAGTTCAAGCATCTTGTGAAGTTGAGCCTCCAATGGAGCATCAACAGCTAACTGTTGCAACACCAGCCTCTGGCAAAAGGCCACCAATAGTCCAAAAAGAGGCACCAGGTTTAATAGGCAGGTGTTCTGAGGAAGCCAAAAAGGAAGTGAAATATCACAGTGAAGAGAAAATAGCCTCTACTTCTAGTAATAATTATAGTGATGTCCCAATGAAAAATGAAGAGAAGAATAAGATACCCAACAGCCAAATGCAAAATGAATCCAAAACCGAGCAGCAAGAGCCTCTTCAAATGCATAGCCCACAACATAACTTTGTTAATTACCATGGAGACATATCAAATCCAGATGCCGATCAGATCAAACACACACTTTCCTTAAATGAGAGCAAGGACCAGAAGTCTGGTGCTGCAGAAGAAGAGCAAATCTCTTCTCATTTGGAAAACATGCAAAGCCCTTTGGCAGGTGACCTTATGAGGCACCGTTTCTATACTGCAGAAGAAGATTTTAGGAAGGACAAATCAACGTCATCAAATGAAATGATCAATCATGCAACCAATCAAGCCCTGCACAGGAGTACTTTTACTGACCTGGAGACCTGTCACAAGCCATCTAAATCTTTCATTGAACGTGAAGAGAGCACTGCAGATGAGATGACCTGGCCTGACTCTGAGGCATGCAAGTCCCTCTCATCAACTCTTTTGCCAACACCAATGAGTGGGATTGCAGGACAAAGAATCCATCACACTTTTGGAAATCCCCCAGCCCATCCTCCTATTGATCTGGTGAGACAGGGAGCTGATGGTGTGGGAGATAAGCATGCCAGCCATGGCTGTGAGAAACATCCGCCACCCTCTTCAGACGAATTGGCAAACCACGAGAATGATACACAGGTGGAGGAAAAAAACATGTGTGATTTTAAGAACCCAGTGCTGTCCGCAAATCATGCCATGGAAAATGAAAACCCTACAGCTGAAGAGAAAAATACGTGTGAGAGGTTTGATAACTGTCTTTCAACCAAGAAACCAGGAAAACATGAAAATAAAATCACACTCACAAGAAGGCCCCTATTAACCTTGGAGAAGAACCGAACACCAACTTCAGATGATACCACAAAGCAAGAAAGTGATATGCTGGAAAAGAACCCGTCTCCTTCATCAGCTGAATCAGTCTCAGACAAAAAGAAGCACGTGAAAAGTAGAAATAAGGTCTCTGAACATACAAAGGATAAACTCTTGTCATCAGATGACGACATAAAGCATGAGAGTGGTAAGGTGGAGGCAGAGTACAGAGAAGAAAGAAATGTCTTGCATAAACCTGAGGATGAGCAAGTATTCACACCAAGTGATACAGTGGATCATGATAATAACTCTTCAAATGAGAAGAATGTTCAAAGACCTCAAACATCCCAGTTACCTTCATCAAAGCATGATAATAACATTCAAGGAATGCAAAATACTGGGCAGAGTTTAAAGCATCTAACACCTTCAAGAGATTTTGTGAAGCACAAACATGATATGACAGTAGATGAAAACATCTGCTGCAATAATGGTAAACACCAACTGTCCTCATCAGATGAACCAATGAAACATGCAAATGACCATGCAGTGCAAAAAAACATCAAGTCAAACTTCAAGAATTATTCAATGCCACCAAGACATACATCAAGGCAAAACAGTAAGACCACTGATGAGGAGAATACCCCTCATAATTTGAAAAATGAACCAACGGAGCACAAAAAGAGTTTTGAAGGAGAGAGGAATATTTCCTGTGATCCTAAAAATCAAATGCCATCATCAAGTCCATTGGTAAAGCAAGACAAGAAATCCCCCCCTCTGGAGACACAGAAACAGATGTCACCAGGTGACTTTGTAAAGCCTGAAAATAAGTCTACTGAAAAAAAGACTAAGCATACCTCTGAGAAGCTCCAGACACCTTCTCCAAATGAAGTGCTAAAGCCTCAGGAAAGAAGTTCTTCAGGAGATGGAAAGCAAAAGTCACCAGCAGCAGAGGACAGCAGATCACCTGAAACAAAGGCTGTGAAAGAGGATAATGAGCACCAGTGTTCTGGAAAGTACCAGCTGTCTTCTTCAAGAAAATCAGCAAAGCAGGAAGAAAACATTCCAGGAGGAGAAAAGCAGCAAGAGAGACCTGAAGATCTTGTGCCACCTGATACAAATGCTGCAAGACAGAAGAACAAGTTGCCAATTTCCAGGAAGTACCGATCAATATCATCAGAAACTTTGGTTAAGCCTCAGGAAAAAAATACTCAAGAAAATAATACTCCAAAACAACAGGAACAAACATCAGCTTCTGTAGGTTTTAAGAAGTCTGGTACTAATGCTGTAAAAGAAAAAGGTGTAGATCCAAATCATGAGAAGTCACCCTCTTCAAAGGAAGTGGTGAAGCCTCAGGAAAGAAGTTCTTCAGGAGACAGAAAGCAAAAGTCACCAGCAGCAGAGGACAGCAGATCACCTGAAACAAAGGCTGTAAAAGAGGATAATGAGCACCAGTGTTCTGGGAACTACCAGCTACCTCCTCCAAGAAAAGCAGCAAAGCATGAGGAAAACATTCCAGGAGACAAGCAGCAAATGAGACCTGAAGATCTTGTGTCACCTGATATAAATGCTGTAAGAGAAAAGAACAAATTCCCAATTTCCAGGAGGTCAGTATCATCAGAAACTTTGGTTAAGCCTCCGGAAAAAAATACTCAGAAAAAGAATACTCCAGAACAACAGCAACAAACATCAGCTTCTGTAGGTTTTAAGAAGTCTGGTACTAATGCTGTAAAAGAAAAAGATGGAGATCTACATCCTGAGAAGTCACCCTCTTCAAAGGAGGTGGTGAAGTCCCAAGACAAGAATACTTCAGGAGATAGAAAGCAAAAGTCACCAGCAGCAGAGGACAGCAGATCACCTGAAACAAAGGCTGTAAAAGAGGATAATGAGCACCAGTGTTCTGGGAGCTACCAGGTACCTCCTTCAAGAAAATCAGCAAAGCATGAGGAAAACATTCCAGGAGGAGAGAAGCAGCAAAACAGATCTGAAGATTTTATGCCACCTGATACAAATGCTGTAAGAGAAAAGAACAAATTCCCAATTTCCAGAAAGTACCGATCAATATCATCAGAAACTTTGGTTAAGCCTCAGGAAAAAAATGCTCAGGAAAAATATACTCCAAAACAACAGCAACAAACATCAGCTTCTGTAGGTTTTAAGAAGTCTGGTACTAATGCTGTAAAAGAAAAAGATGAAGATCCAAATCATGAGAAGTCACCCTCTTCAAAGGAAGTGGTGAAGTCCCAAGACAAGAATACTTCAGGAGACAGAAAGCAAAAGTCACCAGCAGCAGAGGACAGCAGATCACCTGAAACAAAGGCTGTAAAAGGGGATGATAAACACCAGTGTTCTGTGAACCATGAGTTACCTCTTTCAAGTAAACAATCAAAGTCTGAGAAAAATGCTTCAGGAGGAGAAAAACAACGAACTGTATCTGAAAGTTTTACAAAGTCTGATGCAATTGCTATAAAAGGTAAAAGCAAAGATCCAGGTTCTGGGATGTGCCAGTCCCCATCTTCAAATTTGCTGGCAAAGCTTCAAGAAAAGAACTCCACGGTCACAAAGAAGCAATTGCCACCACCACCTGATGAAAAAACAATGTATGAAACTGGTAGTCCAGAAAAAAAGAGTGGGCCTGAGAGAAGAGAAAAATACCAGCTATTCTCTTCAGCTCGGTCAGAGAGTCACAGCAATGATGGCTCAGAAAAGGAAGGCCCTGTGGGCAGCTTCAAGAGTTATCAAGCTCCACTGCCAAGTGATGGTATATATTGTAAAAGCAGTACTCTACCAAAACAGACCAATTTGTCCCCCAGATCATCCTCATTTCATGTTGCATCAAAAGAGGAGGAAAATTCGAATGGAAATAGAAAAGGTCAGCCTGGATTTAAAAAGTACCAAGCTCTCTCGTCAAAGAATTTGGAGAGGCATGAGAAAGATGTTGCAGAGATGGAGGGGAGCTTGCAGGCAGCTGGCAAAACAACTGAGAACTGCGCTAAAGCAGCATCACTCCCAAAATACACAGCAGAAAGCTACAGTGAAAGACCCTTAGATTCATCTTTCAAACCACTGATCATTAGAGTAATTGACACATTTAAACATCACAGCTAAAAAACATGGCTACAGCTTAGGCAAGAACTTACAACTGATCATGCCACCGACTCTCAATCTTTCTTTTTTCCTTTACTCTCCAGGGCATTATATTATCATTTTTTAATCACAAGGACATTGACGCACATCTGTCTGAGCTGGGCTTTTTTCCTTTCTTAAACATTAGCCTGAAGACATGAATTAAATTAATCACTACAAATGAATTAGCTAATCACTGAATTAATCATCAGTTTATAAATTAAATATGAGAAAGGCTTTGAGATCAGCATGAATTCAGCCCTGCTCCAGACTCTCCATGCTAACTAATGGGTTTTGTTTGTAACAAAGACCACTGTTCAGAGTGAACTCTATTTGTATTTACTTATTCTAATGAAACTCCACTAGAACTTCTTCCAGGAATGGTGTTAGGCAGTGTCAGCTTTAATTATGTCAAAAAGCACTTGTTCGAAGCTCTGTCTTTTCACAGATTAACAGGAGCTGTTGATCTATTGCTGCACTGAGTGATGCTGTTAACAGAAGTAATGAGGGAAGGAGGGAAATGCTTCATTTATCTGCAGAAAAATCCTTAAAGGACGTTGACACTACAAGAGGGGTTTCTGTGAATGCGAATGTTCAGCCTCATTAATATTAATATTGGAAAAAAATAGTGGTTTAACCTCCTCTTAAGCTATTTGCACTTTGGCCATACACTGTATGTGCTATTGTTGTAAAGATATGCCATTTCAAGGGCTTCTTAATTACTGCAGATGAACATGCAACAAGTGTATGAGCTCAGAAAAGCTCAATGCTGAAAGGCCCTCAGGACCTCTCCTGAGGACAATGTAAGCCAGAAAGATGCAACACCTTGCCAGGGCAATTCAGCTCTTCCTGGGACATCTGTCCCACTTCAAATCATGGGGCACACAGACATGAGGCAGGTGCTGCTGCTTACATTAAAAGTCTTACAAAGTGTTTATTTTACAACACAATGTGAAACGGAGCATTAAGAAGCAGACAATGTCACTGAATCCTACTAATGGGATATGATTTTTTGTGTTTACAGTAAAAGTGGCTTCTGTGCAAAGTATGTGTGTGACAAATGTTGTTTAGGGAGTTATAGAAAAGTTGTGACAGAGAAATCTTACAGCACCACCCTCCCATACAACAATTTAGCTTCGCATTGTAACCACGCATTTAGGTTAAAACTTAACTGTAGAGGAACCCTAAAGCCGTATCATAAGGACATGCTCTTAGAAAACTGCAGAGCTATCCAGAAAGAGAAAGGGTTTATACAAGCAAGATCCTGCTCCCCCATGGCACTGGCTTCCCATTGATTTTTAAGATGCTCTCCACAACCTCGCTCTGTGCAGCTGAGGGCTGGCTGTTCCTCCAGCCTAGGTTGGCAGAGTGCCCCGACCCACTGCCAGCAAGCAAACGAGGACAAGAACAATCTGGCAGCAAGCTGAGATCAAACCCATTTGCCAGCATAATGCACACGAGCCACATATGTGACAACTGGGCTGGTCCGGCCAGGGACACTGCCGGCAGGGAGAGGGGACACGTACATCCTGTCCCGACTGCTGGAAAGGCTTAGGCTTTGATTTTTTTTTTTTGTTTCCTTCACAACATGACAAGAATTAGGCTTTCTGGAATCCAGAGGGTCACAAAATGAAAATCGAGTATCACACTAATCCTCAAAACAGAGGCTAAACAGGATTTATTGGAGACACAAGACTACCCTTCTATGCAGAGGTGTATTTCACCCACTGAGCTTTAATGAGCTGGCAATCATAAAGGCCACTCTGTACTAAACCCAAACCATAATTTACATTTTATTGTCCACGATTTCATTTCCCATTTGAGAAAAGTCCTTACAACATAAAGCGTTTGCACCAGACTTGAACAGTAAATTCTCTATTAGATGGTTCTCTTGCCAGCACAGGAGAAGGTGTTTTAATTATTCTTTTTCTAATCTTAAAAAAAAAAAACAACTTACAGGGGGATTTTTTGCCCCTTATTTACACCTGGAAAGATCACTAGCTTGTAGTAAGTTACACTTCTTCTGCCTGCCAGAAAGTTAACCAGATGTTAAGAAGGCCCCCCCCCCCCCCCCCCCCCCCCCCAGTACAGCTAGGCAGTGGACACCAGGAGGCTCCCCAACTCTTCCAGTTTACACCTGCAATGACTGTTTCTCTCCAAAGAGATACACCACGAGGAGACTGAAGACACAGCACCCTGTGTTCAGGACAGGTCAGGTGGACTCTCATTGTGGGGGTTGTTACTGCATGCCTTAATCTCTGCTGGTAAAACATAAATCATCCATCCAACTCAATTGACCATTTCTCCCTGAAGTGCACTTAAAACATGACAGACATTTGCAATAAATGCGTCCCTGAGGGTAATGCCTCACTTAAGGAAATCATTTCAGGAGTTAACACAATTAATCCCTCCAGGAAAGGAAAGAGCTCCCTCTCCCGCCCAGTTTATGAAGGGCTGCTCAGTCACGCTGGATGAGTGTTGTCTTCACGAAACTGACTTATTTTTTAAAAGAAAGACGGCATATAAAGCATAGCTACTCTCAGTAAAAAGAGCCCAAGCCCTGAGAAGTTTTAGCCAGTGGAAGAACTTGGGGCCAGTGCTGTACCATGAGACACAACTGGTCCACATCAAAGCTAGGAGATACGTCAGTACTTGCCTCCAAAGGTCAAAACTTTGAAGAAACAGTTGTCCTTGTAGTGCTGCCTGATTCCAAACTGTTCAAATGAAACAAGAAAATAATGAATGCCACTTCTGGCTCTGAACTGTGAAAAAACTTAATAATTTATCAGCATCTTCTACTGTTGTTTCTCATACAACCTTTAGCACACCGTGCATGACAAAAAAGACCTTAAGTTGTATGATTTGTCTCAGGTTTTCCCCATTGTACTTTTTTGGATGTCAGTGGAGCTGGTAATTGAAGAAAGCACTGCAGAGTATAGAAAAGACTTCATATTAAAATGCATAATGCATTCCCTTCCCCCTTCAACACCCCCCCCCCCATTTCAGCTTTTTCATTTCCACCTGCAGCTAGCAATCCCAGCACACAGGGATTATTCAGCCCTTGGGTAAAGCATCCCGCCCAACCCCGAGGTGCCACAGTGGAAATCTCTGGGCTGCTGACGGCGGAAACGCTCCACCTAATGGTCGAATTTGTAAGGCAGGTTGAAAGCAAGTAGTGATGAAAAGCAGAGGAAAAGTGGGAGCAGCGGTGGGAATTTCTTCTCTTATTCCAGTGCTGGTAAGGACTACACCCTGTCCAAAAGGCGTTTGTCTGTGTAATCAGAGAAACCACCCAAGTGACAACCGGGGATCCTTATGGATTTTATGGGGAGGGGGTTCTCTGGAACATTAAGTAAATCTGTTACCTGAGAAATAAGCACAGGGGTATTATCAGCTCTTAGAAGAAACAGTTTTATTTCATTTACTGTATGGTTTCCAAAATGCATCAGGTCCTCTATGCTTTATTTCTCCTTTACATTTCCACAAGCATCTTTTTACAGAATGAAATATTTTTCAGTCCCTGATGAGAACTTTCAACACAGGAAAAATATCTTGCTGGGCAACTGCTTTCCTGCCAACTAAAAGTTATTTTGTGCACTGAATATCCAAAGGATCAGCAGGTCAGTTTTTTACCTCTTACAACCTTGAAGGATGTGAAACAGCTTTGGAATTGCTACGCACCTCCTGTTACTGTACTTGCTTTGTCCTTAATGTGCCTTCAGTTGCTTGTACTCTGCTGAGCTGCAGGTGCAAGCACAACTTTGTACGATGGTGGGATTTTCACTTGGCAAGCAAGCGCTACAGCAGGCTTTCAGCGATGCTTGTCATGCAACAGCAGAAGTGTACTGCCAGGGGGAAAATTTCCTGAGAAAATAAAGCCATAGAAATCTATGAAGTGGTTATCCTCAAAAAGCCACCAAATAGTTCTTAGGGCCTGTATTTTAAAAAATGGCTAGTGCCTCTGAATATCCAACATGGAACATCTTATAGAAGGATCTGATTTTTGGGAGGATTGCTCAGCACTTGCTCTCTGAAAATCAAGTTTCTTTCATAAGCTGCTTCTTTAGGCAGCCAAACCCCTTTCTAAAAGAATTGACCCAGATTTCTGAGAGTTTCACAGGCTTCACAGGCACCTGTTTGCTCCTGCATCTACAAAAAAAAGGCTGTGAATAAAGACTTGGTGTGCAGGATCCAGCCAGCTGGCTGGGTGAATGCAGCCAGTGCAGGTTGCTTTTACCTCAAGAAATTGCAAACAGTTTCTGCAGACCACATGCCTTTTAGGCCTGCACCATGGCAGTTGCTAAGCCAGTCCTTGCAGGGTGGTGAGAGAGTTTTGGTATAGTTGAGATGAGCCTATAAAGAAGGTAAATCCTTCCCATTACTCCCCAAGGCTTCTGGAAGGAATCAAAGAAAGCAAGCTCTTGGACACTGTAGAGCCAGTCCATTCTTACCAAGAAACAACTGTGTTTAGTCAAGTTGCACCATCAGAGCAGAATTCTCGTGTCCCTTGGGATTCATACGAACACAACGGACTACCTAAAGGCAGCTCTGGATTGCAAATCCTGGTTACTGAGATATTTCGTTCTTCAAAAGAATGGGAACAGTGAGGGCAGTGGTTATCCAAGCAGCCAAATAAGGTCCCACCAAATGTACCTCAGCTCTAACTGTCTCCAGGCTCCAGGACACTTATCAGAAGCAAAAAAAAAAAATCCCCAAAAGACATCTTCTTTATTAACTCATTCAAATTACACCCATCATGTAACAAGAAAGTCTGTACCATTGTCATACATTACAGATTTCTTAATAAAACTGTTTTCCTTCTTAGATGAGTTACTTGTTTGTACCACTGAGTCTTCTGTGCTGAGAAGATAAAATAAAAGCATACAAAATAACGATCTTGTAATCATCCTGTCATTATCAAGGAAGGAGCATGAGAAACAAAGACAAACAGCGCCTGTAAGTATCTCATCAGTATGCAAACTGTTTCCTTGTGCCCAAGGGAGCTGACACATGCTGAGTTTCATGGGACAGCTGCGAATAGGTAGAAAACATGAATCATTTATTATGCAAATGTTGTGGCTTTGAAAAGAGCACGACAAGATGCATTTTCTGCAGCTTGCTCCTTGCTACCCTGTCCTCTCTGGCTCCTCAGACCCAGGCAAAGAGCAGGCTGTGTGACAGGCAGGTGACTTCGGCCACTGGAATAGGAGCAGTGTCGGGCTAAAGACCAGGTTGGTGGGAATAACCTCCTCCTGCCATGCTGCTCACCAGGAGGTGGTGGCCGGCCAGGGCTGGATGACCTGACATGACTGCCTGTCTTGTTTTTGCTTGACAATGGGAATGACTAAATGCTCACCTGAAACAAGCCTGGTGCCCTAGCAGAGCTGGATCAGGTTTTGCTATCTGTGATTCGAGGCTGGCAGGACAAGCCAGTTACCTGGTGACTGCATCAGTGCGTCAGAGATGCAGAAAGGCCTCTGGCAGCTACTCCTTCATATATAACCTTTAAGGAAACAGCACTGACTCACTCTTCTTCCAAAACCACCACTGATCCTCACCTCCCTTTTAGCTCTTTCAGTTAATTCTCCAGGTGATGTGTAGGTGAGATGGCCACAGAATGGGAGAAGTGCAGTGGAGAGAACCCACATGAGCGCACAGATTATCAGAGTGGTCCCGTACACATGCAACATGTTTTCAGATGTATATTTAGATGAGTTGCAACTCCCCTGTTAATACCCAAAAGGATGCTAGCAGTTGCTCAAGGACTTCTGATGTTTCTATGGTGTTTCTCTTCACTGGTTCTTACAACCCATGTTTGAAAAAGTCACAAAGGGTGCATGTAAAGCATTTGGGAGCACAAACCCTTGCAGAAGCAAGTCTGAATCTGAATCTCACTAAGAATTAGAAGAAACAGACTTGGTACGACATGGAATCAAGCATTTAAGCATAAGCTGTTCCTAAGAAAATATAACAGTTCTGACGTCAAAAGAATCAGCTTCTTTCTATGCCTTGCTTTTCCATCTCCCTAATGGGAAAGAAGGAATTTGCCCCTCACTTTGGTGCCTG